GGACAGGTTTTACACATTTTCAACACTTTTAATTCAATGATTGGATTGTTAGAGTGTCCATTGTCATGGCATCCGCGAGACTAGGGGGGGTGGATATCTTCGGATGCAACCCCTGGGAGGTCAAATTCTGATTTTGCCCTGGTCCGTCATCCGGCTTACTCCAGCTTGATCCCGCTTAATCCGGCTCAATCCCGTAAGCCTGCTTAAACCGGCTCAATCCCGCTTAATCCGAGGCCCTTTCCAGCGTAACAGCCCCCCAATGGGGCTTAATCATGTTTAATCCTTCCGACGAAGAGCTCCCAGTAGTTGCTTCCTAAGATATCATGGCGGGGGGCATGATATCTCCCAAGATCTCATGGCGCCTCTTCTTACTTCATTACGTCCCCGCTTTCCCCCCCCCCTGGGCCGCGCACGTGCCGCCGGCCATGCTTTGCGCCCCCCCCCCCCCCCTCTTGGACGCCCCCCTCCTTGGCCGCCCCCGACGTTAGGTCGGGCAGGTCCTCCTGCGGGCGGACTGCTAGAGGACAAGTGAAAGATAGTCACGGGAGGGCCCGGGCCTCCTGGCGGTTCGAGCGGGTTGCGTTAGGTCGGGCAGGTCCTGCTGCGGGCGGACTGCTAGAGGACAAGTGAAAGATAGTCAGGGGAGGGTCTGGGCCTCCTGGCGGCTCGAGCGGGTTGCGTTAGGTCGGGCAGGTCCTCCTGCGGGCGGAGTTTTGGAGGACAAATCAGAAATAATCAAACAGTATTCAGATACAGCCAGAGAGCACGAAGTATCGTCACCAGACTATTTGTTTATTCCATTCTTGAGTCTTCCTCCTGTAGATAGAAATGCCCGACTTAAGGGTGGTTGCACTGGTGGTCGTGGCGAGCGCCTCCCGTCGTCTTGTCGCTGCTCCTGCTCTGCTTCGGATCAGTCTGGTCGGGCCAGCACGAGGCCTGTGCCTCCCAGAAAGGATGAGTTCCTCGCCAGCCTCGACGGCGTGGCGATCTCGTCCGACGCGTTCTTCCCCTTCCGCGACTCCATCGATCATGCCAGCAAGCTCGGAGTCAGGTTCGTGGCGCAGCCGGGGGGCTCGGTGCAGGATGACGAGGTGACGTCCACCTGCGACACGTATGGAATGGTCATGGCTTTCACGGACCTCAGGCTTTTCCACCATTGAGCGTGCGCGAGGTTGTCTCGATTATCCGGGCAGCCTCGTCGCCTCGGAGCAGCCGCCAGACACTCCAAGACTCTTGAAGGCACGCTCGCGCGCGCCGTAGCCGAGCGGACTACATAGGCTAGTGAGTGCGGCAATCAGTCGGCCCCTCACATCTTCACTTTTCGCCTCGCTGCTATAGGGGTAGCTGCCTGTATTGCGAAGGCCTGACGGCCGGTGCCGCCGACCCTGTTCGCAATGCGCAGCAAGAGGCACGGGCTGTGGGATGGTTTTGGGGAACGGGGAGAAGGACGAGAAGGTGGGGGAGGGAGGTGTCGTATCTGACCCGGGACTTCCCCGGGACTCCCCCGGGACCCCCCCCGGGACCCCCTCTCCCTCCCCCGGCGGGGAAGGGAAAGGGAAGGGGCTTCCCTTCGACTCAATTACGACGTTGCTCAAGGTCGGTACGGGGGGGGGGCGTCGTATCTGACCTGGGGGGGGGTCGCTACCGCCCCCCGCTACCCCCCCCTCGCCTCCCGGCGGGGGAGGGATCAAAGGGAAGGGGCTTCCCTTCGACTCAATTACGAGGTTGCTCAAGGTCGGCTTGGCTGGAGCCCAGGGGAAGAGGAGTCCCAGGGGGGGGCGTCGTATCTGACCCGGGGGGGGGGTCGCTACCCCCCCCCCCCTCCCGGCGGGGGAGGGATCAAAGGGAAGGGGCTTCCCTTCGACTCAATTACGAGGTTGCTCAAGGTCGGCTTGGCTGGAGCCCAGGGGAAGAGGAGTCCCAGGGGGGGGCGTCGTATCTGACCCGGGGGGGGGGTCGCCCCCCCCCTACCCCCCCCCCTCCCGGCGGGGGAGGGATCAAAGGGAAGGGCTTCCCTTCGACTCAATTACGAGGTTGCTCAAGGTCCCAGGGGAAGAGGAGTCCCAGGGGGGGGCGTCGTATCTGACCCGGGGGGGGGGTCGCTACCCCCCCCCCCCCCTCCCGGCGGGGGAGGGATCAAAGGGAAGGGGCTTCCCTTCGACTCAATTACGAGGTTGCTCAAGGTCGGCTTGGCTGGAGCCCAGGGGAAGAGGAGTCCCAGGGGGGGGCGTCGTATCTGACCCGGGGGGGGGGTCGGTACCCCCCCCGAGAAAGGTTCAGATCCCAACCAGACGCGTAAGATCCCAACCGGACGGTTCAGATCCCAACCGTCAATGACCCCTGGGACGCGTGAGATCCCAACCACTTTGGAGCCTCTGAAAAGCTCCAACCTATGCGACTCTCCGAGAATCACTGCGAGCCTCTGAGAGAGTCTGCGAGATTCTGAGAGATTCTCAGAGATTCTCAGAGATTCTCAGAGATTTTCAGAGATTCTCAGAGA